AGGGGGCTCAGGGCAGGGCAGGGGCTCAGGACAGGGGCTCAGGACAGGGGACTCAGGGCAGGGCAGGGGGATCAGGGCAGGGGCTCAGGACAGGGCAGGGGGCTCAGGGCAGGACAGGGGGATCAGGACAGGGGGCTCAGGGCAAGGGCTCAGGACAGGGGCTCAGGGCAGGGCAGCAGCACCGTGAGCCGCAGGAGATGCGGCGGGAGCCGGGCCGCGAGTGACGGCAGCCGGGGGCGGTGGAGGTGAGTCAAGCCTGAGCCACCATCGGTGCCCCGTGTCCCCTCCTTGGAGCCTGTCACCCCTCAAAGGCCCTGCGCCGCCCCGGTCACCTTCCCGTGCCCCGTGGTGTGCCAGGAGCATCCCTTGGGACAGGGACCAGCCGGGGCTTCTCCTGGCAGGGCGAGGATGGAGCCGGGTCTGGCCCCACTGGTCACCGCAGCTTCCCCCAGACCAGAGCGGGCTGAGCGCTGCAGACCTGGAGATGGCTCTGTCCCTGCCAGGCTTCCCTGGAGCAGCCTTGCTATGCAGTCCCTGGAGCTGGGGGAGCAGGAGCCAGGGCCCCTCTTGCACTGCTTTTAGCCCCGAGACACGGGGCAGAGGATGGGCAGGGAGCAGGGAATGCTGGCATTGAGGCAGCGGCCGGGATGAGATCCTCGGGATGAGATCCTCGGGATGAGATCCTCGGGATGAGATCCTCGGGATGAGCCCCAGAGCCTGGCGGGGGGCTGAGGGCCGCACCCCAGCACGGGGGGCTCCATGGGGTCCCTGCAGCGTCCCTGGAAGTGTCCCCATACCGAGGTGGCATCTTGGAGGAGCTCGGCACAGGGGGACACGCGGGGGTGCTGGCAGGACACCCAGGCTCCCTCGCAGTCCCCGATAAGGAGCAGAGACCGGCGGTTTGTTGTGTCTGCCGCCATCCCAAGGATTTTCCAAAGCTCTGGAGCGCTGCGTGCAGGCTCTGGCGTGAGCTGGGTCTGGCAGGGAGGCAGGAAAGGGAGAAGCCGGGGAGGGAGAGGGGTTAAGGAGCGGCGCCAGGCTGGGCTCTGTTTAGTCTGGCCTCGGCGGCGGCAGCGGGAGCCGCTCTGTCCCCGTGGCACCAGGCACGGACACAGCCCCGCTCCCTGCCAGGCGCTGGGGACACCGCTGTCCCCCGGCCTGATGCCAGGGTGCCACCATCCAGCTCTGGCTCTGCTGCTGTGGGGCGCTGGGGACACCCCGAGTGTGTCCTGCCACCTCACCCCTTCCCCAGGCTGGGGACAAGCTCTGGGGCTCAGCGATCGGCCAGGGAGCACGGAAGCCGGGCTTGGGGTGGCAGATGGCTTTGTCACCTGGGGAGTGCCGGCTCGGTGTGCCCTGCGGCAGGTGACATGCGGGGACACGCCGTGCCTTGCAGGTGCCATGTCCCTGGGCAGTGACAGCGGCCCCGGCATCGTGCACAGCCTGCTGTGCCACCGGCAGGGAGGGGACAGCGAGGCCTTCGCCCGCCGCGCCATCCAGAGCCTGCTCAGGAAGCTGAAGGAGAAGAGGGACGAGCTGGACGCGCTGGTGGCCGCTGTCACCTCCGGAGGGGCGCAGCCCGGCCAGTGTGTCACCGTGCAGCGCACCCTGGACGGGCGGCTCCAGGTACCCCCGACACCGGGG